TCATAGGTAAATTTCTTTTCGCAAAACTTTTTAATAGGTACTACCAATTTTGACCTCTTGGTCTTGACCTTGGAATTTGACCCACTTTTACAAGAAAAATACCTTAAACTTGGCCTAAGTTTTGAACAGTTGGTGCTAGGACTTTCATGCTTAACATGTGTAATCACTGTGAACTTTCAACAGATATAAATATTTTTGACATTGACCCTAGAGTTGAACCCAATTTAACTTTTACCTTGGCAATAACTTTTGAACAGGTGAGGAAGTACTAGGGATTTCTCTCTTATTTAACATGTGTATTCCTTGGGACAAGACTTTCCCTTTGATACCATCAATTTTGATCCTTTGACCTTGACCTTGGAGTTTGACTTACATTTGAGAAACTTCAACCTTTTCCAAAAGCTGCCATAACAGTTGCTGTCACAACAAACAAACAAATTACTAAAAATACACAGTAGACATGTACATATTTTATATTCAACAGATATACTTCTGGTCATATTTCTGGTTCTCCCTTGAATCAGACATGGTGATATAAATATTTCAAATATTTCCATTCCTAGTTTTCCTGTAATAACTCTTGATAATTCTATCGGAATGTAAATTAGACGGGTTAATAGGTGAGGAGCTAAAGAGGCCTAAAATGCATGCAAATTTCGTGCGCATCTGTCTCTGAGTCTGACACTAAGGAGGACAAATATGCATGAAAATCTCGTGCGCCTGCCGTTCTGTTTGACGTCAGTGGGCGAGGACTATTGAAATTGGGATTGGAATCCTCGTGTAATTTAAATCTATGTCTGCATTTTTAACGTCTAAATCTACAATTTTATTTCACATTGAAATGGAAATATAAGAAATCACTGTCTAGATAGTATAGTATGCCAGGGACATCAACAATATTGGGAAACATAGGATAATTTATGCATAAAGGGATTCGCCCGTTATGCAAATTATCCCATGTTTCCCACTATTGTTGATGCCCTGGCATACCATACTAACGAGATAGTGATTCCTTAAATAATTATTATAAGAGTTGAAAAGGTTGTGCATATTTTAAAATATACAAAGCTCTGCGGATGAATTAGATATACCAGTTTAGCTTTATTTTGCTACCCAAAGCACCTTGATTACCTATTTACAAGCATACTGTTTTCTGAAATGTACTGTTTTTTTCTGTCGTCCATCTGTTTGTCTGCAAACCTTTCACATTCTTAACTTTTTAAGAACCACTGGGCCAATTTCAACCAATTTACATGTAAATATGAAGGGGACTTTTTCCAACATACATCTTCTTCTCAAGAACAGCAAGGACATTTATTGCCCCCCCCCCATTTTCGCTAAAGGTAGGGGGCATTAAATTTCATTTGTTTGTCAGTCTGTCCATCTGTGTAAAATGAATAGGAGTTTAGGGAAGACAGGGCTTTTTGCATAAAAACGTCAAATTTTGTGAGATGTTTCTGACACATTTTTTCACTTCGTTAAATTAAATTTTGCGTATATCTAAAATATTCACGAGTCCTTGATAATCGGAAGAAAAAAAACTTTCACATCCCAATTACATAAGAAATGTTCATTATAAACACTTTAAAAAATTTATTATTTTTGCGTACATTATAATATTAAAAAGACATTTATAAGATATAAAAAATATTATTTAACATTTTGGATAATGCAATGTGTAGAGTAATTGAACATTTTACGCAAAGAATTTACAATTTTTTATCTGGAAATTTTGTAACAATTTGATTGTGACGCAGTATTAGTCAGGTATATGACGTCACTGATATATCAATTGAAACGTGGATTCAACCTGAATAATTTAATTTTACTTGTATCAAGCAATTTCATTGGCTGAATCATTCAGAGGAACATATAATATTTTGGATAACATAACTTGCCTACGTCACAATGACTTACGTCAAAAACGTATTACTCCGCTTGACGTTACTTTTAAATTATGCTATATTTGAAGCCTATTTCCAGAGGAAAAATTGTCTCACTGACTACACTGAAATTAAATTATAAGTAATGAAGCTAATTTCAACTTATGTTATACGATACCGGGTATAACATAACTTGGGGCAGTTTACGCTTTTTTATAAACCTCTTCGCGGTTTATAAAGCGTAAACTGCCCCAAGTTATGTTATATCGTATAACATAAGTTGAAATTAGCTTCATTCCTTAAATAATACAGTCCATTTTTATCCAAATATTACGTTTGAAGGCGAAAATGAGTTTTATTTTGAAAATAAAGTAGCTATTTTTTTGTTTAATAATTTTCTTTCGTTTATCGATTCTATTTTTTTAACTAGGATTTCGATAGTAAGGTATGTAGCAGATTTACCAATGCCACGAGAGATAACTCTTGCACTGCAAAATTTCATAAAAACGTTTATTATACCTCAACTGCACTTACTCTATATAAAATCAATACCATAAAACTGTATATTTCCCCCAAGAAGAGACTATTTCACTCATCTGAAGACTACTCCCTGGAAAATCAGAGCTACTCCTTGGAACTACTCCCGCACGGATACTTATTAGTAATTTTAACCAATGAAAGTGTTCAGTGGGTGGAGGGTTCAAGGAATCTCGAGTCTGTGACGTCATGTTATTAGCATTGTAACTATGACGTCAAAACATTTCGACATGCGATCTCAAAATCATACTTGAATTCTAGCTAAATAAAGACAACGATGATTCTTCTAAATGTCAGTGAACATACTTCTTAAAAAATAATTTAATTGTTTTAGGACATGGTGCATTACTTGTCATACAATGTGTTAAACTGCATGCATTAATTTTGTAATTATGCCTCTACAGTTTTTTCAATGTCGGAATATCTGTAAAATAAAATTAAATCGCATATGATTGTTTCGGTATAATAAAGCAGTTATTGAATGTGAACTCGGAAATACCAAATTTATGGTTCCCCGAGGGAGGAAACTATTTCCCTCGGTGGCTTCGCCGCCTCGGGAAATAGTTTCCTCCCTCGGGGAACCATAAATTTGCTATTTCCCTCGTAACCATTCCTTAACTGTATACTATATCAAAAGTGTTTTTCCCTACGATTTTATTTTTAAAACAGAAAAATGAAATATTTCTAGATTTAGTTCAGCGTGAATTATAGTCCTGTTAAAAATGTATTGGAAGTTACAGTTCTTTGTTTCTGACCTAAATTCAATAGATTATATATAGGGGATCTCAAGAACACGAAAGAAAAGGATATTTTACTAAATAAGGAATTTTCAAACAAATCTTAGATTACATTATTCCATTTGGACTACATTGATAGTGTTTTCAATAAAATATCAAATATTCGTCACATTCGATGTGCCGCCTATCAATACAATACTGCCTGGTTTCTCGGTGGACTGCCTCTTAAAATGTATCCTTTTTGACAGTATATTCTGTGGGTATGTATTAACAAATATCTTTTTTTAAATATGTACTTGCATAGGACCCATATTTACCTTGTCAGATTATCATATGAGGTACCAACATGGCTTCAACTGACAGTTCAGCTGAATGAAAATGAGAATTGCATTTTGCATTACTACGGATTCTACACATATTTTCGCTTGCAAAAAAATCCCACAGGTTATTAGGCTCAACGAATGTTTTTCTTTTCACTGCTTAATAAACGGTAATCTTTATTCTTTTTTTAAATTTATATTCTATATGCTTACGATTACAAACAATTCATTTGTTAAATACATTTTGAATCCTAGGTTACTCAAAGCTTCTAGCTATACTGGGAGGCGATTTGCGTTCATTATTTTGGTAATATCAATAAATACAATTGTCAGGTGGAATCACTGACCAACAAACGATATATTGTCACTATAAACACCTTTACAAGCATTGAAAATGCACAGAATGTCTCTCTTTCTCCGTGTCCACTTCCCAATAAGCATGAAACTATACATACAGTTTAATTTAGATAATATTATATTAGAGGTATTATAATATATCTTCAATTCAATATCCTTTTTCTAATAACATTATCTGCTGATTAATATAATATTGTCCAAAAAGACTCTATTAAGGTCATTAGTAAGGCAAGGTTTCCGGAAAGAAAAAAAAAGATTTGATACATGTTTTTTCACTTATTAAAACAGTCATTGAGAGTGATCTTCCGTTTGGAATTCTCTAGGCGGTGGAAATAAATAAAACGTATATTACAGAGGTAAACAAAGGCACATGTATTTTAAACGGTCAGAATAGATTATACAGCAAGAAAGAAAAGCGGTGACTCGGATGGTTTTGTTGTACATTGTGTAAACAAAATCGGTAGATAGTCACCAGGTCGTCAGTTACCATAATAATGCTGGGAAGGGCAAAAATGTGACATATGCTGAAAGTAGTGAAGGTTAGGTAACAGGATGAGAAGAGTTCTATAGTATAGGTCATGTGAAGTGTGCACTATTTAGTAACCATAAATTTAAGTTATAATAAATCCATGCAAATATATTTATGACAATTTGTTTCCAATAACGTTGTAAATTACATGATAGAAACTCTTGATCATTATGAATAATGATTAGATGTTAAGGAAAGTAACTCAAAATAAAAGAACAGTGCTGGAATTTCTGTGTCTTGTTTCTATATTTTTCTTTCATCCAAGATATATACATGTCATCGGAAATACCAATACAGTAATGGTTTTTACTGAAAATGTCTATGAAATAAATGGATTTTAGAGAAATCGTGTGGTTTAAAGTAATGTAGGCCCTTTTTATCAACACTGTACATAGGAAATGCATTGAGAATTGTGAAAACATTGATTCGACAAAGCGAAGGCTAGCTTGGTGGGTTAAACGAACCAGAATTAAACATATTTGGTACCACAAAACCTGTTCAAAAGTTTTTAAAAATTTCTATACTAATGCCAGAAACTTTGCCAATGTCCTTAAGAAAATTACGTACTGCAAGAGTTTTAAAACAAGACAAATAAAATGCATGTACATTGTTCCTTACTCAGAAAAAAAACACATACCCCTGAAGCAATAACCACTGATCCTGATATGGTATGGCTTGCAGTGACAGATACCAATTGCACCATGTGAGATACATTCAGCATTCTCCCCACAATCACTTTCATATTTGCAGAGAACACTAGAATAATCTACAAAATGTGGAAATTGTATAATTGTTTGCTTATATTTTGTAGCGCAAAATTACTCCAATCTGAATAATATTTTACAAGAAATAGTAAAAAAAAAATGACGTTTTATATGATTAACTTAAATTAATCATTACTCCAATCTGAATAATATTTTACAAGAAATAGTAAAAAAAAAATGACGTTTTATATGATTAACTTAAATTAATCATTACTCGAATCTGAATAATATTTTACAAGAAATAGTAAAAAAAATGACGTTTTATATGATAAACTTAAATTAATCATTACTCCAATCTGAATAATATTTTACAAGAAATAGTAAAAAAAAAAAATGACGTTTTATATGATTAACTTAAACTTGACATTCTTGCTATTAAACAATCAACATATGATGATCATAATGAACATTTAGTTAGTTGAAATAGTCAATAAGGAAATACGAAAACCTTCACGCAATGATGATTTTGTATTAAGTTGACATAAAATTTAATAATCTTTAAACACTGTGTTTTGAGGCCTGTATCTACTTACCATATTTCCAATCTTTACATTCTACAGACATATATCTAGAGTAAATATTGTCGACATCATATGTATCTGAACAGAAATCTGTTAAAGGTAAATTCGTCCTTTGGGTCCCGTAGTTCAATACTAGACCAGATAATCTATACCGATGCCCTTTCCAGATGTTAGTAATGAATACATTACATGGATTAAGGCAGTGCCCTTAAAAATATGATCAAACGTTTAGATACAAAACAATACGTTGTTTTCATTTCCAATGATTAATCTAGATATAACGATATACGATAATGAAAAGATAAAGATTTTGAAGAAAAAAGTCATGAATGTTATAAAATAACTGGTTCTTTTTATGAACATAAGGTCGATTCTTGCCGTCTTGAAGGGTAATATTTGCTTCTTCTAAAGAAAAACTGCAGCTACTTTTCGACGCTATAAACTTCATTGGAATGTCCATGCAGAGTCTCCTAAAATTAATGAAACGCCTAGTATAAATAGTCATTAAATTCAAAAAAATAAAAATGCAAAATACACTGTTTAATTAACATTTTTTACACCTACCTATCTACATGTACCCACATGCACATTTACTAGTACTTAAAGAACAACAACCTCTCATAAATGCACACATGTACATACACACATCTGTTCATTTTAAGTAACTACATGTAAGATACAAAAGTACTATAATAGTTTCATTAAAAAGGAACAGATTCAATTTTATTTATTACAATGTAATCATTTATTCCAACAATTTATAGAATACATGAAAATGTGAAGAAAAAATTAACAACCCCCCTATCTAACCTAAATATATCTTAAATTCATTTTAAATAAGATAGAATTGGAACAAAACATACAAATGAGAAATTAAAAGTTTTAAGCATATCATTTGAAATGTGTCACTTAACTGTTAATTAAGTCTATTTATCACTGAAATTTCAATATTTTCATGCACAGATTGAGAACTAGATGGAAATCAAAAATTAATTTTTGGAGTTAAATGTGTAGAGATGAAAACACAATACAATCTCACAAAACTATTTAAACAACTCAAATCAGGAGCAGAGCAAAAAACGAACCAGTCTAGCCTGCAACGAAAACTAGCACCCATACATAGTACGACACTACGATAGAATCTTTTAAACAAATAAACTATGGGTCTCAAATAATAATAGCAAAAGCAACGAGCTCAGTAGACTAACGTGTATAAGAACAGAGGATATTCGGATTGAAATCTGTACACACGTCATACAAATTTTTGTTTGAAACCTTCCCAGAATTCCTTTGCTACAATGTACCAGGATCAATGCGATAGTGGTGAATAAAAAACAACATAAAAATGGTTTTCGGTTTGCAGAAATCTTAAAAGCAAAAAGAAAATACTTTACAATGTCTTTTGTTAAAAATTTCACTGTCTTTAGTTTCAACCATACGCTCAGCTGTCTCCTTAAACCCTGAATAGGACCTTACGTCGTGTGACGTCACGACTAGTCTAGATGACTTGTTTAAATTAATTTTTGAGGTGGCTGATCAATGTTTCAATTGTGTTTTTGATGGCACAACTAAACAATCAAATCGTAAAACATATCAATTAAATTTAATCATTAGAGGTTTATTTCAAATAAAGCGATTTATGTTAAAAATTTCATGTTTGTATTTTTGTGGATATCAATGTTTTTATCTTTTCGTAATTTTATAAAACCTTTTATTTGTAAACCCGGTTCTTCTAGTGACCAAGTTTTCCCGCGTCCATAAAAATTTTGTCAAGGTCTTAGCTGTTTTCAACCAATCAAATTGCCGCGCAAGGCACCCTATTTATATACTTCTTGTCTACGCGGAGTACTGTCGCGAATTTTTGTGAACAAAAAAGCAATACCTTGGTCTGTCAGTAAAGTTTTAACATAAAATTCTGTGTGGTATCTGCATATTTTACAGTTTCAAAGTGCAGAATCTCATAGTCAAGTATATATTCTAATTATCAAAATCTTACCTCTCAAACTTCTGCAGTCAATAAGTTAATTTTACCTGCCCGGAGATATATTTTGCAAAGTAGGTCAAAGGTCAAAGTCAAGTGGTTTTTGATGCAAGTACGTTTCATAAAATATCTGTATATCGGTACTATGAATTATTTTGAAAAGGTGGTAAAAGGTCAAGTTTTTGGGTCGCGCTTTCAGTAACTATACTTACTTACAAAAGCCATGGTGAAAGGTAATATTTGTGCATAATATTAAATGCATAACTCTCACAGTTCTAGAGATAAGTGGAGTGACAGATGGACGGCAGATGGATAGACAGGCGCCGGGTAAAGTGATCAATAAGTGTCGCTCTGCTCTGCAGGCGTTACAAAAATTGATGACTACAGTTATTTGATTGAAAAACTTTACTTCAGGTACTTTGTTTGATCCCCGTGGTAGCATATTTATTTCTGTCCCCTGATATTGGATAAAATTCAATATTTAACATAATCATGCCCATATTTCAAGATAATTAAGCCTACATGCAAGAAACTAATCTTAAAAGCTTTTTAGAGAATCTGATTTTGTAGTGTTCCTGATTTAAATCAAGTCATCCCATATTACCACACGTCAAATACAAGGCTAGAAGGTTCCTGTGTTAAAAAAGGAAGTCTCGGCATAAAATTGCTCATCAATTTTTAAACATATCAATTACAATTCAATAAGTAGTCTTTTTTAATGTTAATTATTTCTTTTAAAACGATAAAGATGATATGAAATAAATAAAGCAAGGTAACTTAAACAAAGGCCTTCAAATTGCTTTCTTATTTGATAACCACTTTGTGCATATAAACATGATTTGGGAGGGATTCACTTATCCGGACAATTCATTTATCCAGACGATTTGGTTGGCAACTGGATTAGCGAGGAACAACTGTACATATAAATATACATATTGACATTCTTTTCTGGCATGTTGATATTATTTATCACGAATTTAAGGAGCAAAAAAATATACCGCCCTTTGTTCCCTTTAAAAGATAAGTCATTTTAAAATACATTTATAAGGTTAAAAGTGATCCACAGTTTGTTTATAAGAACATAGAACATGCATAATGAAAAGCGTAAAAATACAATTACGAGGGTTGTCCCAAAATTCCGTAGACAAGCATTGTTTTGTAGGAACCCTATGTCATACATGAATGAATCTTCGTATATCGACTAAACAAACACTATCTAATAAATTTATGGACAAATATGGAGTAACTACACAAATTATTCCAATTTAAAAGCCACATTTCATTGTCTGGTGTAGGAAGGCGGCGCAATACCTAAGAGTTGAAATTTAAACTTAATATATTATATTTGAATCCTTCGGAAAAGTAATTACTTCCCTGTATTTTTTTTAATGGAAATGAAATTCGTAAAACTGTCTTGTTAACTATATTTCCTAAAAGTTTGATGCTTATGCTTTGATAAATATGAATTTTATAACGTTTTTAAAAATTGGGTTGAAATTCGACATTTTGAGAAATGGCGGCTGCGATGGCACAGGCGGCTCACTGGACTATGATCAAGTGTTTTGATCCCGAATTCACTCTTACAGAAATGTACCAGTCATTAATGTTTGGTAGATTAGGAAAGATTCTATCATCTTTAGTATTTTAAATGACTAAAACGGTTTCTCTATGTATATGTGAATAACAGTAACTAACAAAGAGACAATGTTAAGAAATGGGTTAAAGTTCCACTGTGCAACGCCATTACAGAAAACAGACGTAAACCCATAGAAATATAGCGTTTTCAAATTATTATTATTTCATACCTATACATGTATATACTTTGTTTACATATTTTAATGGTTGAACATATCATAGTAATTAAGATATTTCACATTTATAACTATAACCGTTTCGTTTAATTTAAGAATTTGATTCTGGTATTTGTAATATTTTCTCCAAAAAATTGAACCATTGACATTTGTATTTTTTGACGTTGCAGATTGCTCCGTGTGTTAGAGAACAGTATCTTTTTAAATAATATTACTCGAAAAGTTTTCAAGTAAACATGATAAAATTTCGTAATTTTTCTGCTAAGAATATGCGTTATCCACCCTGAAAATTTTAGGAGACAAAACACTTGATCATAGTCCAGTGAGCCGCCTGTGCCAACGCAGCCGCCATTTCTCAAAATGTCGGATTTCAACCCAATCTTTAAAAACGTTATAAAATTCATATTTATCAAAGCATGAGCATCAAACTTTTAGGAAATATAGGTAACAAGACAGTTTTACGAATTTCATTTCCATTAAAAAAAAATACAGGGAAGTAATTACTTTTCCGAAGGATTCAAATATAATATATTAAGTTTAAATTTCAACTCTTAGGTATTGCGCCGCCTTCCTACACCAGACAATGAAATGTGGCTTTTAAGTTGGAATAATTTGTGTAGTTACTCCATATTTGTCCATAAATTTATTAGATAGTGTTTGTTTAGTCGATATACGAAGTTTCATTCATGTATGACATAGGGTCCCTACAAAACAACGCTTGTCTACGGAATTTTGGGACAACCCTCGTATATTAAGTTATATAAAATGCTATTTACAACAGAATTGCAGTTTTTCAATGATGACAATATTAACATATCTTTTATTAGCTTCTGATATAAACAAATGCATGTTATGTTTAGTGAATGTGTTTTAAAAAATGCCCTTTCATATGATAAGCAGTATAATTATTTGTTTTGTAATTTTGTAAGCTTAGGGAACCCAGGGCCCCAATCCTGGCACTAAGGCACTGCCCTGAAACTCACGCCATTTGAAAATATCCATGTTTTTATCTAGTTTGTTTTATTATTTTTTTTTAAAGTTTTGTTCTTCCGCGTTTTAAATGTTTCCTCATGTATGTATATATGGCAACAATGTGTCATGAAAAAATAAACCTCTCCAGCTATAGTTCGTCTACTATGTGGGAATACAAGCAATTAAAAGACGGTTTTATCTTTATACTTTTGACACCTACTTTTACTTCCTGTTACCTTATCTCGCTTATCATTATATTCTTCCTCCCGGTTCCTGTGCGTTCATCTACAGCATTAATTTTAGAATATCTATACATCGTGCATGTTGTGATATGTTACTAACTTAAGCTATTTGTACCGTATAAACTTTTATGGATGTCACCATGCATCCATGTCTAAATATAAGTATTTAATGTAGGAAAATTGGAGTGAAGTATTTATCAGCTGTGTAGTTAATAATAATTTGATATTGATATTGTCGA